CCCAAGGAACACTGTGGTGTGTTTTGCCAAAAACTTTTTTTATTATTTGTATTTTATTATTAAAGTTTAACAACACGACTTTATTATTAGAAAGAACGGGAACGGACGTTTCGGTCACTGACCATCGTCGATAATGGTCAATGACCGAAAGCGTTTTGTTCTTTCTAATAAACTTCTTAGCAAAATACACCCACAGCGCTCTTCTGAATATTATTTAACTTTATATTTAAAAAAAAATTAACATGAATCAAAATAATCAAACTGAAACATTCCGCATTCAGAATCCTCTAAACACATCTGTTTGGTATTATTATTAGCGTATTCGACCGGTGCTTTGTCTTCGATAAAGTGAAACTATAAATTGGACCGCCTAGTATACACATTGTAAAATATGCCCCTACACTCTCTTGACAAATCCTGCTTATATTGCTTGCTAAAGCTCGTGAATAAATGTTGAATTAATTTTCATCACAGAATGTCTTACAATTTTGTGAATTATCTCGGTTGTCTATTAGGTTTGATAATATATTATAAAATCGATAGATGTTGTTAAATGCTCACCTTAGAATAAATATTTACATTAAAAGGAATTTAAACAACTAATACCAATAAAAACTTGTACGCCAAGAACATAACATCTTATCGATTTCATAACGGTATCTGGTGAGAGGTTGCGCAAGAAAAGCTTCTTCCTGTTTTTACGATTGCACAACGACTGTTTATAAAGTAGGTATACAGAGGATTACCGGGATAAGCCTGGTATGTGACGAAAGCACATTAAATTTAATCAATAGTCAATAAGTTCAAAATAGTTCAAATTATTTAAAGTGGCCTGAGCACAACTTTCCAAACGCACCTTCTACAAGTACACTCTGTCCATATCGTAGCCAGAATTTTCAAACCGTGCGGGACAATATCTGGGTGGACCCACTTTACGCGCAAATTCAAATAATGTGGACCCATTTTCTTGAAAGTTGATCCATTTGACGCAAAATATGAAAAATCTGGACCACTTTCTAAAATATTAACCCATTTTAGGCTAAATATGAGAAATCTGGACTCATTTTGCATAAAATTGCATAATTTAATAATAATAGTAATAATAGTGTAGTTTTATATAGCGCACAAATCCATCTAATGTGAGATGCTCAGGGCGCTTGAAATGTGGACTAGTGACTCGATCAATGACTTTCTTCGCCCCTAAGGGTCCCTTCGTGTCTGTGCTACCCGGTAACCCGGTACCAGCAACTCTCGTCGTCCACCACAGGGGCTGTCTCTTATACACATCAGATGTGTCCGGGGTATCCCCCTACTCGTCTCGAAGGATGTACAGGGTTCTTTATAGTGCACACGAGCCACTGTATACACTGGGCCTACGGTTTATAGTCCTTATCCGAGAAGACTTGTTCTACCACCAGAACCATTGGCGAGCGTGCCGTGCGAACCAGCGCCGATATTATGGCTATAGCTTGCGGCGCCCCTGCGGCGCCCCTGCTAACCGCTCGGCCATTCGACTCACCAATTTGGACCCATTTTTTAAAATGTGGACCCATTCTTTGTGGACCTATTAGAAAAATTGTGTGGGACTGTCCCAACTGTCCCAATAGCTGGCTACGGCATTGCACTTTGGTCCATACCAGGCCTACACTTTAATTGGTTTCTTTTTCACAAACTATAATTGATATTTCTTTGTTACCAACTCGAATGTGAAAAAAAATTAATGAATTTTATGAAATTTAAATAGTCGTGTGTGTATTGTCAATCATTCACAATTGCACGTAGTTGTAATGTTTAATGCTCCATTAAGTCCCATGGCCCGCTACTTGTTTGGTGGTAAATGCGAATGTTTTTGTTGTTGTTGTTTTTTGGGGTTTTTTTTTTTTTTTTTGCCCCTCCTAATTTTTCAAGATTTTAAAAATTTGGAAAAAAAAGAAAATTACATTCACATTCTAAATCCGAGAATGCATTTCTGGCCATCTAGAGTTGACATAATCGTAAATGTTCTTACCTCAGCCCCAACCGTGGTGGGGCTGGTGGTATAGACCCTCCATCTGTCAAAAAGTCCCTTCCTGGGCCTCCTGTATTTCAAATTCCTGGATCCACCACTGATGAGGTTGTCGATTTCTAGTCAATTTCCTATTAAATAGATTCATATTAATTAGTGCGCCATGTTTAATTAATGTTTATTTAACACGGACAGTTAAAACAAACCAGCGGCGTAGTAGGTGCGAAAGGGCCCCAGTGCAAAATTTACTGCCGGGCCCTTTGATCTGATAGGGGAATTCTCTAGTTCTCAGAAAATTCATTATAAGAAGTGCTTCTTTTACCCCTACTCCAGAATGCTATTCAATACTAGTGATAATCGAATTCGTAACTAATTTAAGAGGGGCATATTCGGTCTCAGCAGCTACTGTTCTAAACTAATTAAGAAAATTGGTGGAACGTAAAATTAAACCATTGAGAAGTTCTATTTTCTCTATGATTAAACTATCGCAGTGGCGGATCAGTGAATTCGAATAGAGGGGGCCAGGAAGGGATTTTCACAGGTGGAGGTTGAAGACCACCTCGTCCTCACCGTGTATGGGGCTGAGGTAATGACATTTATGAATATTTAGCACCTCTAGATGACCGGAAATGGTACTCTCATACTTATATAATGAATATAATTTCCTTTTTTCCCTATATATTTTTTTTTATAATTTTGAAAAAAATAGGGGATCGGGCCGACTGGGCCCCCTTGAATACACTAATGAACACAGTAATCAATAATTACTCCTCTAAAAACCGAATATTTTTTAGGGGCCCACTGGCCGTTTTTTTTTTCTTCTTCAAAATTAAGTTGGAAATTATTTTAATTATTATTTTTAGGTCTATTTATGAATGGGCTCCTAACAGTCCTAGGCCCCAGTGCTTTGCACTGGCTGCACTGCCCGCAGCTACGCCACTGAATCAAGCTAATTGTCGTATTATAGACATATTTCTGTTTTTATAACCAATCTACGTATTCATTTGTATATTGTTTAAAGGTATTTAAAAATACCTGGGTGTGAGTTGGCTTGCGATATACTGAATGTGATTTCAGTTCATTTAAAAGCTTGCCGATACGCTTTTTTGACTACATCTTTAAAAGATTCGAATTTAAATGCATATACAAACGGATTTATACACATGCTCGATGCTACGAGCATAACAGTAACCTCGTGGATGGGATCGGTGTCAAAGTTAAAACATGAACAAATGGCATAGACAAGATAAAGCAATAAATCTGGAGTTATTGTCACGATAAATACTATGGCAATAATCGACATCGTTATCAATATATCTTGTTGTTCTTTATAATATCTATCATCTCCTGCGCTCTTGGGGTCGGGTGCGTTACATAGTTCATTTGTACTTGTCGTAACGCAGTAGTGTTCACTTCTTTGGGGTGTATTACTCCTATATCTTGATTTGTCTCTTTCTCTGAGTGTCAGGTAAACGCGTCTATAACAAAATGTCAGGATACTCACTGGAATTAACCAGTTAGTTAAAAATATGTACAAACCAGAAAAGAAATGTAGTACAGTTGTCTTGTAACAGTACCTGCATTTACCAGCCTGATACTTGGTAATGATCGCTAATTGAAAGACAACAACGACAGCTACAATATACGGTAAGCACAACAACGGCAATAAGGTTTTCTTTGAGTTCATCCTGGCTCGGAACACCAACGGTTGAACTACAGCTACATATCTTTCAGTAGCAATAAACACAAGATTGTAAGTCGAGGCAGACGAAAAAAACCAGAAAAAAATTCGACACTTGCAAAACACAATTCCACCTTGACCCGTCGGGGGTGCGTAGTTGTAGAAACCCAGAAAAAAGCAACAGCCAAGTAAATCTATAAACGATTGCTGTAATATTAAAAGGTATGTCAAGTTTTTGTGGTATATTTTGCTTATGAAAAACACTAAAATCACAAAGAAGTTAGCTGTAACACCCAAGACAGTCACGAGATATCGTAATACCTGGAGAGTAATCTCTCCTGCATCTGAAGGTTCTTTGCTAGAAATGTTGACTATCTCACACTCTGGCATTATCTGAAATCAAAGAAAGTATTCACTTCATGAAAATTAAGTAGGCCCACGTTCCTGTATTTAACAAAAATGCTACCTCAAAAGGTATATTTCTTATTTCATTTTTAATCATCATCTCTCTTTGGAAAATTAATATCATGTGTTTTATAAACTTGTAAACATATGACGAATAAAAAAAGCTTAAATGTGAATAACATTGGACTAGCTCAAAATACATACCAAAACCAGAAAACTTTCTTTTCCGTTGGTTGGCAAAAGATCCGCTGGGAATAGGCCTAACGGTTAATTACAAATGCGGGAATGTAATTGGCTCCATCTAATTGAGTGTTTGTCTCCACATTAACATTAATTTTACATAAAATATCTGTAAACTAATCATTAACGATTATTTTAGACTTAGGTCTATTTCACTCAATAACTGGATTAATAATTTGTAATGCCAAGCTCCGAAAGAAAAAAGACACAAAAAGCATTTTTGACGGAAAACTGGGAAGCGGTTAATGCGATACAGATTTTTGAATATATAAAAACTAAGGGAAAAGGTGTGGGAAAATGGTGGTTACGCCCCTATTTCCTACAGTTTTTAAATATTCAGAAATCTGTATCTGTTTAACCGCTTTCGAGTTTTTTGTCATATATATTTTTTTATGTCTTCAGTTCTACAACATATCACAAAAAAATTCTTCCGGAGCCTGGCTTTAAAAACATTTAAAATTAGCCCGCATCAGCAAGTAAATGTGATTATGATTCTATTTAGTATATTCCTCAGAAACCAGTTTTGAGCATTCTGTTACTCGAATCCAGAGCACTGAAATTGAAGGACGGTATTATAGGCATATTAATAATAACCACACTCATCTTTATTCCAGTGGTAATGTTATTTTACTCTTCCACATAGCACTGTGGTGGCTAGGTAGAAGTTTTGGACTTAGGAATAGATAGACTTGTTTCCTATTTCCTATATATTTTAAGCAGCACCAATGTTATTAGGGGAAATGTGTTATATATTATTACATCTAAAATGAAGACAGGTTATAATAAATATGTGTTTTACAGTAATACTTACATAGCTTTCAAGTGATTTATCGCCTAAACAGTATGGAGTGAATTTTTGAAATAGTCTATATTAACGTATTTGTCAGAACGGGTTTGTCAGGCTTCTTCGTGCATCGATACAGTGACTGAACAGACCAGCGGACAATAAACACGTACGGTAAATGTCTTGCTATTTACACAAGAAATTATGATAAAGTTCCATCAGGAAGTAACATAGCAATAATGCACAGTAACCAACTTAGACTTTGCACTGATGCACAAACAGCTTAATTAATTTTATTATTATTATTATTATTTCCTATTCCTATTATTATAATCGTTATCATTATCGACTTCTCATGATCATTACAATTATCATGAATATTAAATAATTATTATTATCCTTATGGTTATCAAGAGCAGCTACCTCAGTCGGATAAACAGGTGGTAGCGACTGTGTGTGCGCTGAACAGTGGAGATCTTTTGGTCCCCGGTTTAATTCCCATCGCTGCTCTATCTGTGTTTCAGCTGCCAAGCTGAAATGCAAGTTTCAAAAAGCGCACCGTCTTTCGGATCAGACGTTTAAGCCGTTGGTCTCGTGTGCAAAAATGGCCCATGTACACGTTAAAGAACGCAGTACACTCTTCGAAAAGAGTAGTGTACCCTATTCACCACCAGAAGGACAGACCCCACTGGAAATAAGTCTCAGCACTTTAGTGGGTTTGGGTTTTCCTTGGTGGTATCACGTGGTGTACTGCAAGCATTAATATATACTATATCATTATTGTAAACCTTCAAACAATATCGTATATTATTATCATAATCATTATTCTCATTCATATTATGTAATATTACTTATTATATTAATAATAATAATAATAATAATAATAATAAATTATAACTATTACTGTCTTCTTTTTTTTTTTTTATAGAAATTAACCTGACATTGTAATCACACAATTATTGCAGCAATATACTATGATTAACATTGTTAATTTGAAATTATGTCTAATAAACACAGTGTCAAATTTAATCATTCAATTAGTGATTGCCTAATGATATTGACATTTGGATCAGATTTATGAGTGGTCAGTAAGAACTATATTAAAAGTCAACACGCCTCCATATTACTACGTCATCAATATACCACGGAATCATAACAGGCAAAGGTGAGGTTTCCTGGGAAAAAAGGTTAACGGTTATGCGGTCAGATGAAACATTGAATCACATTTCAAAACGGTACCGTATGTCTGTATTTTTTAAATTTTTTAAATTCACTTCAGAAGTCAATCTGATTAATAGTCCTATTATGCATATTTACATAGGCTTAATAATACCATGATAATACTAATAATGGTCATCTGAAATACCTTTCTTTTAATTCAAGCAAACCACATCCAACACTAGTCACCTCTCATGTTCGAACTAAGCTTTATACTTCTAATGGTTTTCTGACTCCCTTCTTAACAACCCCACCTTCTCATGCAGCAATCTCAATCCAACTTCACTTCTAAAAATAGCTTTGTATTTTCATTTTATTAAAGAAAAAAATTAATATGCATTTAAATTCCTAAATGTTTATCTTGTGTTCACTCCTGGACCACGCCCACTTCAACAATAACAACGGCGCTTTCGTCGTAAAGAAGCTTCTCGTTGGGGACACTGACCCCCACCCATTCATTAAAATCCTGGTGCTACCAGAATGATGCTATTGTTATTGTATATTATTATTATCAGTATTTTAAATAATATTTATTATGATATTAGTTATATCAATATAAATAATTATTGTTAGTAATTGTTATTGTCGTGATTGAATAATAGACAATACCGACGTGGAAATGTACCGAATACTCAGTACATTTGAAAACAACTGCGAAAAAAATCGCAAGTTGTTCTCGGGTGGGACTCGAACCCACGATCTCCAGATCACTAGCCTGGCATCATACCTCTAGACCACCGAGCTTGCGCCTGATGAACAGGGTTGAATTCGAGTCCAAGTAAGCAGCGGGTACTGCAGTGTTGAGAGTAATTGTTATTGTCGTGATGGAATAATAACTGGATTTGCGTCAGGAGAAACATGTATAGGTGTAATTTTGCCCTACCTGACGTGGAAATGTACCGAATACTCAGTACATTTGAAATTTATTGTCTATTATTCCATCACGACAATAACAATTACTAGCAACACTGCAGTACCTGCTGCTTACTTGAACTCGAATTCAACCCTGGCCATCAGGCGCAAGCTCGGTGGTCTAGAGGTATGATGCCAGGCTAGTGATCTGGAGATCGTGGGTTCGAGTCCCACCCGAGAACAACTTGCGATTTTTTCGCAGTTGTTTTCAAATGTACTGAGTATTCGGTACATTTTCACGTCAGGTAGGGCAAAATTACACCTATACAATAATTATTGTGTTATTATTGTTAGGGATAGGGCTATTTTCTTTGCAATCTAGCGGTACTATACCCAATGCACATAGGCAAAGGGAGAAGGTACTGCATCGAATGCAACAATATGCCCCGGGGGACTATATGCCTAACTCTACCATAGGCTCAGCTAAATATTCATCATCTACCTTACTTAAAGTAGGATTGGTTTTGTTATTATACATTCGAACACAAATAAATAGCGCACTACACCAGGGTTACTGGTTTGTTCTTCTATTTTAAGTAAAACTCTCATCCAATCAAATGGAGCTAATACAATATCGCGGGGCGGGTACGTTGCACGTGTTACAGTTTTCTGGCATAGTAAATCATGTCAAATACAAATTTCTCAGAGAATCATACAATCAAGTTGGAACAACCAACGAGTCAGCACATTTGTGTCTGTCTTCAGAAAACGGCCAATCTGACAACATGGATCTTTAACGAAGAGCACGGCTAGAAATAAAAATGTAGAGGGAGATTTTTTTTTCTGATGTCTCATTATTACAGTATTATAGTTCATAGTTCATATTTCACTTTATTTGTCCTTTCGGAAATTCGGTTTGACGTACAATTGCTCAAATTAATGTTATTAAGAATAGGAAAACGTACAAAAAATATAAA